AAGGGTTAGTCAGGCTAGTATGTGTTGAGTAGGGTTCCTCACCCACGTGATGCCTTTCATGCCGCTTTTTCTCTTTTAGGTGTTACAGTATCTGAACAAAATGGCTGGGAACGAATACATGGGTTTCAGCAATGCCACGTAAGGCCCCGTTTGCAGGATTGGCTGAATACATTGTGGAATAGGTGCATGTGCGATAGAGAAGGGGGATGAAAGAATCTTAAGAGGAAGAAATGCAGGGGAGTTTTGGCCACCCAGCTTCCTCTGAACCCATTCATTGACATTTGTTTACTTTGTAAAAGAATTTGTTCCATTTCTATTTAGTATTTAGAGAGGCAGTATGAGGCTTTATCCCTAAGCCCTTTCTTGCCAAGCCTCTCAAAGCCAAAAACCTCATCAGTTTTTCCAAACTAGATGACTAGACAATTTTGGGTTTGGGGATTTCTTTTTTACACTTTACAATAAAGCTATGGCCAGTGCTTGCTCAGGGTCAGAAGTTTCCTCCAGGATTACCGTGAGAAGTCAGTTTGACATGTGTGATCTAGTTCTGTCTCTCTTAGGGAAGGTATTTTTTCCCCTTCTCCTTATACCCACCCCTCAAATGTCAAGTACTAAATTGGGTGTTTGCTTCAGATTCCAGTCAGAGAAGGAAACAGGGGATCGGAATTATGCCATCGGCTATTATCTAAAGGAAAAGAAGGTAACTGGGAAAGGCTGCTAGAGAAAGTCCCTGGGAATTCTGCAGCTGGTAGAAGGGCACATGGGGTTGGGGACTTCGGTTGAGATCCTGGCAGTGTGACAGGGTCTGCTGATGGTCTGAAAAGAAATGCTCTCCCTTCTTCTTCCTTACAGTGCTTTCCTAAGGGGGAGGACATGATGGCTGCTCTTGATCTCTATTTCCAGGTGAGCAAACACTGCTGTTCAGCTCAGGGCCAAGGGAACAGGACAGACTGCCATCCTTGCTCTGATCCACAAGAGGGATGCTCCTCTCCAGGGGTTCTGGTGTCCTTCAGAAACACCAGGGGAACTTTTTGAAAGATCAAGATGCTAAGAACGTGGCTCTGCTCCCAAGAACACAGTGCTCATGATCCACACTGCACCCTCACCTCTGCCTTGTCTCCATAGCTGTGCTCCGTGGAGGTGACCTGTGAGTCAGGCAGTGTCATGGCAGCCACCCTGGCCAACGGCGGGATCTGCCCCATCACAGGAGAGAGTGTACTGAGCGCTGAAGCAGTGCGCAACACCCTCAGCCTCATGCACTCCTGCGGCATGTACGACTTCTCAGGCCAGTTTGCCTTCCATGTGAGTGCTTCTGGCCCTGCCATCCGTTTGCCACTGGTCCAGAGCCAAAAAGTGAGGACAGGCTTCTTCCTGCCTCCCCGTCACTAACTTCCAGCCAGGCAGTTAGGCTGAGAGTCCTTCGGGGAGTTTGTCAAACACACTGCATCCCTCAAACACATCAATACGTGATGTTGCAGCTTCTGAACCCCACTTCTGCCACCCTTCATGTTCCTGGCACTTCTCCTCTAGGCCTCAGTGTAGAGGTCACTTCCTCAGAGAGGCTTTACTACCATCCTGCCTCCGGTAGGCACCCCCTCCCACTGCATTCTCTGTCACAGCACCCTGCTTCTTTCCTCCCATGTTTTCTCATAAGCTATGATTCTTTTTGTCTCTTGATCATCTATCTCCTACCACCGGGATGAAGTCAAAAGAGACCGTCCTAGTTCTAGGGCAGCATCAGGCACAGCATAGACCCTCAACAAGTATTACTTAGTGAAGCCATGAGTTTAAGGGGGACAGGACAGGAGAGGAGTAAGAAAAGAAGCTAAGTAACAAGCCAGGAGGTTGAGATGGACATGACTTTGCCTGTGCAGTCATTTGGGATAGACTAACTTATTAATCTAGACTTGAGGGCACCTCTAGCTCATCCTCAGTCTCAACTTTATCCCCAAGGTGGGCCTGCCAGCCAAGTCAGCTGTGTCAGGAGCCATCCTCCTAGTGGTACCCAATGTAATGGGAATGATGTGTCTGTCACCTCCATTGGACAAACTAGGGAACAGCCATAGGGGCATCAGCTTCTGCCAGGTGAGTTACTTTGCAGAAGGGTCTTAATGGTTTTAAATGAGTAAATGAAACAACTTTGAGCTCCTACTAAGTAGAGAGAGTAAGTAAACAATCTCTTTGGTTTACCATTCTAGAAGTTGGTGTCTCTCTTCAATTTCCACAACTACGATAACCTGAGGCACTGTGCTCGCAAGTTAGACCCACGGCGTGAAGGGGGAGAAGTTCGGGTAAGGAAAACCCCAGGTGGCTTGTAAGAATATTTCAGAATAGGAAACAATATATATATATATTTCAGAATAGAACATTCCATTAATGCTTTAGCAATACCCTTGGCTACGCATCTTTGGAGAAGGGTCACAGGGCAGAGCTGGGCATGGGTGAGCTCAAAGTCACAGTCAATCTCAGGTGGGTATTTGTTTTCCAGAACAAGACTGTGGTGAACCTGTTATTTGCTGCCTATAGTGGAGATGTCTCAGCCCTTCGAAGGTACCAAATAAACAGTAAAATCCTCCTGGTCAGAGATCTCATTAGGAGTCAACACAGCAAAATAGTTAAGTGCTTCAGCTTTAGAGCCAGATAGAATGGATACAGACTGCATTTAAATGAGATTATTTTAAGTACAGTGACTGCCTTGTGATAAGAATTTAAATAATGGCAGCCATGTTATGATTAACCGGGGTGTTAAGAGCAGAGTCCTAGGAGGTAAGTAAGGACTCTGCCTCAAGTAGATCACCAACATCAACAAACATGTACTGGGCATCTACCACGGGTAGGCGGTGATGTTTCTGGAAGCATCACACCCCTGTCTGATTTGGGAGTAAGTCTCATCTGGCATCTGGATATAGAACATGATTATGCAGGGTCTACACATCTTAGCAAGCTGTTTTCCTTTTTCTGGAACCCATCCAGTCTGGAACCCCACTTCAGAAAAGACACTAGTGATTCTAGGCTGATCTGGGTAACTCCAGCTGCTTTCCACTACCCTCAGGTTTGCCTTGTCAGCCATGGACATGGAACAGAAAGACTATGACTCCCGCACAGCCCTGCATGTTGCTGCAGCTGAAGGTATCTGAAGGTTAAATAAAAGGGGAAACAGATCTTAAGACCCTTTCTTTTTCCTTTTTAAAAATATTTTATGCTTTTTTTTTTTTTTAAGTAAACTCTACTCCCAACATGGGACTCAAACTCACAACCCTGAGATCAAGAGTTGCATGCTCTACCAACTAAGCCAGCCAGGCACCCCCAAGACCCCTTCCTTTCTACCAAGAGTACTCCCCGTTGTATATGCCCTTAAGGTTACAGGGGCTGCAACTAGTTTTGTCCAGATGCCCTGCAGTTTGCAGGCCAACTATTATTGGGTGCCACAGGGAGCAAAATGGGAAGAGGCCTTTCCCCCTCCCCTCTTGGTTCAGACTCCACCTGCCAAGGTCTGTACTAATGTTAACACCAAAAGGTTGAGGATCTGTACCATCTCATGTTCCTTCTGCTCATATTCCTAGGACACATCGAAGTTGTTAAATTCCTGATTGAAGCTTGCAAAGTGAATCCTTTTGTCAAGGACAGGTAAGTAAGATTAAGCTAAAAGGGGGTGGGGCTTGGGCAGCAGCTTCTCTACCACCACCCTCCTGCCACCAGTCATGTATATAACCATAGCACTGGGGATGTCTTCTTTGCCCGATCACGGTCTTCGTTCCTTTTAGGTGGGGCAACATTCCCCTGGATGATGCTGTGCAGTTCAACCACCTGGAGGTGGTGAAACTGCTTCAGGATTACCAGGACTCCTACACACCATCGGAGACTCAGGCCGAGGCAGAGGCTGAGGCCCTGTCCAAAGAGAACTTAGAGAGCATGGTGTGAGCATGGGACATGCACACGGTCCCTGCTCGAGGAAAAGCACGAGCTGGCCACACACTTAATCCATAACCACCAAACATGCTATGGAGAGCCACACTGCTTCAGTGGGGACCAAGACTTAGGCCACTGCTTTCTGTGAGAGTGAAAATACCCCATTCCCTTGGCAGACAGAGTATAGAGAAGTGCCTTGGTGGACACATGCAGTAGAGCAATCCATGGAGACGACGAGCTTCTTCGAGGTACAGCCTAATGGTTTGGCCCACTCAAAATCATCCCAGGTCTTCACCCAGGTCCCCTCTCCTTCTCCCTAAATAAACCATCATGAGAGAGACAGAGATACTCTGGTAAAGGGGCTCTAGCCACCATGCACAGGTATATCCACAAAGGAAGTGGGACAGCCACGTACCAGGCTTTAATAGTCTGGACAGGTCTGCCCTCGTTGGCTGGAAAGTACCGCTGCTACTGCTAATTTTATAGACAGAGAAAGTATTTTGTGCTCAAATAAACTTTAATTACACAAATTATTATTTTTGTTAAACCCAGTCCTTCTCCCTCTCCCCTAGGGGTATCTAGCTGCATTGCCATCAAAGGTAGAATAGGAGGGAACCACAAGGTCAGGCAGAGCCGGAGAATACCTATTTCACGTACATACTCATCCCACCACATTTTCCTCAACCCTAAATATTACTATAGGTTAACTGTATTCTGCTGCCAGAGGTCAGGTTGGGTAGGGGAGCGGGGTGGTAATACGTGAGGGTTTGGGACTGAGCAGGCCCAACAATGGATTGTGCAAGACCTCAGGCCTCCCTCCTTGCTCTGGAAGTTCCAACTGTGGCAAAACTATCTTGTCTCCTTTGGGCATGGCTGTAACTGGCCCAGTGATTATAACAGATTGACCAAATGTCAGAGGTGTGCAGATTAAGGCAGATGGACTCTGGGTGGTGATAGCTGCAGCAGTGTGGGGCTGAGAGTCTGGCACTGAGGTACTGGGGAAGGAGGGCTCTGTTTCATTCAGACACAGTAAAGCACTTCCTGAGGGAGCCAGAGCCCAGACTCTATTGCTATAGAGAGAAAGGGCCAAGTCATTGCACCACTCCTCCAGCCAGAGGTAGAAAGGATTTACTCTGGAGAGATCCTAGAGTCCCAAGGGGGAAAAAAATTACATGGGGGCAAAGGGAGGCAGAGGTATCACCGTGATGAATAATTCAAACAAAGTTGAAAGCTAATACCCCAGGACTGAATGCAGTCTGAGAAAGGTCCGGGCACAGGGAGGCAGAGCGACTAAAGGAAGCCAGTCAGGCAAAGTACACTCATGATAGCTTAGGAAATTGGCAGTAGTTTGCGGGAGGGGAAGGGTGGCTGTATGCCCAGCTTTCACAGGGTATGGGAGAGAAGACTTAGATATTGCACAGAGGGCCCAACACTGCATTTCGAGAATTAGAGATTGCTTGGTGGCAAAATTAAAAGGTTTCAGACACTTTCAGAGGAGAATGGCCAAGAGCATGATTAGGGACTCCAGTGAGGGACACACTAGAGGCCTTCAGGCACCTCAAGCCCTGAGTGGGTCAGCAGCTCTCCATCCCAAAGGGCAAAGGCAGGTACCACTGGACCTCGGAAATCTGTCTGTAGCGTGTGGACCACAGCGACCCTGCTCACATCCACCAGGCTCAGCTTCTGGGCCTCATACTCCAGCAGTAGCCCCACCTTCTCTGGCTGCCCGATGCCCTCAATAGGGGCTTTTTCGTTGGCCAACATGGTGTGCCACCTGCGCTGGGCATAGGTGAACACCCAGGAACGATCGTCCACACCGATGCAACTATCCCGGGACATGTCCACATCTGCCACTCCTATCCGGAACTGGTGGGAACGTTTCACTGTCACCTCCCAGTAGTGCCTGCCACTGGTGACAGCCGTGTCTGCCAGGACCACTGCCCACTCCCGGAAGCGCTCCACATTCAGGGCCAACTTGGTGGGCTCCAATCCCACTATGCCATATTTGACACCTGTGTCACCTTTGAAGAGCGCCAGGCTGCTGTGGGCGGTTTTTTCTTCCAGTTTGAAGCTGATGGCTGCGAGCAGAGCAAAGAGATTGAATGATGACGGGGGTTAGAAGTGATACATACACATTACGATCTGAAAGGCAGTCAGGAGTTCACGAGTACACGGGAAAGAGTCAGAATGTCACGCGGGCAAGAGTGGGACACTTTAATATGGGCCTTCGGACTGGGGACGCCTGGGGATAAAAAAAAAAAAAAAAAAAGATCGTGCCCCATGTTTGGACTCTCAAGACCAACGCAGATCGGGAGGGGAAATGACCCAAAAGGGCTCCCGGGAATAACGGAAACCATTTTGGAGATAAAAGAGAGTAAGAGGAAATAATTTTACCTCTGCGGGCTTCGGCTGCGGCAACCCCCAGTCGTTTGGCTCCCCAGCGGCACAGGCAGAGCGAACGTACAAAAGGCAGCGCCATCTTGCGCCGGGGATAAACGGGGCACGGCCCCCCCGCCTGAGACCTCGCCATCTGCCCTCCTGCTCCTTTCCGACGTGGTGCGCGAGCGACCGCCGCGCACTATGATGACGTAAGAGAGCCAGCGCCCAGTCGGGGAGCCGCCATTTTAGTGAGTTCTGCTCTAGGTCTGCCCGTGGTTGGTAGTTTTTTTCCTGAGGGGAATACTGCTCACGTTTTTACCAAGTAGGACCTTTAAAAAGATGGTGTAGCAAGATATCAAAAGTATAGATTTTAGAATCAAGCAACAATCGAATTCGAACCCAGCTCCGCTGTGTGACTTTGGGCAAATCCCTTAACTTCTCCGAGGCTTAGTGTTTTCATTTGTAAACAAAAACAATAACCTTTAGACGTTGCTAAAAATTAAATGAGAGAATAACTTAGAATACAACTTGGCAGGTTGTTTTAATAAATAATAATGTGTAAATACTGTAAATGTTGGTTTTGTATTTTCAGGGTTATTGGAGAAGGACTCAAAATCTCTACCGTTTATTTCTTTGCTGATTTGCAGATTTGTATATCCAACATCCTATTAGACATTTCTGCCTGGATGTTCCCTTCCCCCCACTCACCCCGCCAGCCAGTCACCTCAAACTTAACATGTCTAAAACTTACTTTGTTCTAAAACTTACTTTGTCTTCCTACACAAGCTTCCTCCACTGCGTAGGTTCCCTGACTTCTGTGAACTGCAACCCATAACCAACCAGCTGCCCAGGCCAGAAACCTGGAAGTCCTTGACTTCTTTGTCTCCCTCATCTCACATATCTGATTGTCCTTGAACCCCAATCACATTATTTCTTCCCTGGACTATTGCATTAGCCTTCTAACTGGACTCCTCATTCTCCCCAGCGCTGCGAGGAGGGGACGTTTAAAGAGGCAACTACATATCTCACCTATTAGGTGTTTTTGTTTTAAGATTTTATATATTTGAGAGAGAGAGCATGAGCGGGGGGAGGGGCAATGGGAGAAGGCGACTCCCCGCTGAGCACAGAGTAAATGTACTATGTTTTTGTTTTTGTTTTTGTTTTAAGATTTTATTTATTTATTTGACACAGAGAGACGCAGTGAGAGAGGGAACACAAACAAGGGGGAGGGTGGGAGAGGGAGAAGCAGGCTTCCCACTGAGCAGGGAGCTGGAGGTGGGACTCTATCCCAGAACCCTGAGATCAAGACCTGAGCCCAAGGCATACGCTTAACAACTGAGCCGCTCAGATGCCCTGTACTGTTGTTTTTGAATTAAATGAATGAGCATGAAGGGAGAAAGTTTTGTGCCCATGTTCTTGGAGTGCAGTGGCTGGCTTATTGCCCAGTAGGGGTCAGCCCGGTCCAGCCTTTACAACCTGCCTAATGTGTGAGAAGAGTGGTTTCTGTTACTCGTAAGTACAGGAGCAAAGGCGTGGAGGACAGATTTCCTTCAGAAAAGTTATGCTCTGTCAATACTTTGCATCTTGGTGGTAATGAGAGGAAAGTTCCTGGGTTCTGTTTCTGTAGTTTTTCTCCTAGGTTCCATCCTAGGTGTGAGAGCTAAAGCAATCACTGCACATTCCTCACACTGTCACTTAGACATACCTCTGTTACTTTATTCCCACTCAGGAAATAGAGTTTTGCCTGTCATCTCTTGTATTATTTCACTTTTGCAGACTGACCATCCACCTGATAAACTCACCTTCATCATTCAGATGATTTACCTACCTTGTTGCTAATATACAAGTAATTAATTCTTTTTTTTAATTTTTTTTATTAACATATAATATATTATTTGTTTCAGGGGTACAGGTCTGTGATTCATGAGTCTTACACAATTCACAGCGCTCACCATAGCACATATCCTCCCCAATGTCCATCACCCAGCCACCCCATCCCTCCCACCCCTCCACTCCAGCAACCCTCAGTTTGTTTCCTGAGATTAAGAGTCTCTTATGGTTTGTCTCCCTCTCTGGTTTTGTCTTAAAGTAATTAATTCTTAACATTTCCATGCATAATAATTAAGAAGTGATAGAGTTTCATTTGACAGACAAAAGGGGAAAAGACATTCAAGGTATAGGGAACAACTTCTGCTAAAGCACTGGGTAATGAAATAGAATGAGGTATTTGGGAGCCACAAGAAGCACAAAATTGTCAGGGCCTCATGCTGAGGAGATATAGAGAAGGTTGGAAAAGTTGAGGCTGAATTATGAAGAGTCATGTATTCATAGTAAGAATGTCCTTCAGGCATCTAGGAACTGTTGAAGGGACACAAGGAGATGACAAATTACAGGTACTTTTATTTTATTAAAGATTTTATTTATTTGAGAGGAAGAATATGAGTGGGGGGAGGGGAAGAGGGAGACGGAAAAGCAGACTCCCCAAGATCATGATCTGAGCTGAAGTTAGTTGCTTAACCAACTGAGCCACCCAAGTGCCCCTATGGGCACTTTTATAAAGATAAAACTGATAGCAACATGGAGAATGAATTGGAGGGAATGAGACCAGAAACAGGGTCAAATGGGGTCTGAAGCCACTAGAGTCCTCAGGTGAGAGATGGTGTGGGTTAAGCCATCTAAGAGGTAGAATTGATAGAGTTTTTGTGACTGGTTAGGTGAGAGTGAGAGGATAGGGGAAAGGAGTCAAAGCTGATTCATAGGTTTCTGATTTAATGAGGGGATACAAAAGAAAAGCATGTGGGGTTTTTTGTGTGTGTGTGTGTGTGTTTTTAAGATTTTTATTTTTATTTATTTGACAGAGAGAGAGAGAGAGCGAGAACAGAAACACAAGCAGGGGGAGTGGGATAGGGAGAAGCAGGTTCCCACTGAGCAGGGACCCCGATGTGGGGCTGGATCCCAGGATCCTGGGATCATGACCTGAGCCGAAGGCAGATGCTTAACAACTGAGCCACCCGGGCGCCCCAGGAAAAGCATGTTTTAATGGGGGAAGATCATTCTGTTTCAGACAGGCTGTACTTGAGGTGTCTACGGGACACACAGGTGAAAATGTTCTGTAAATATGTGGATATACATTTGAGGGAGAGTGGAATAGGCGAAGTCATCCAAAGAGAGGCTGTCAGCTGAATAGGTAGAGAATAAACTGACAGTACGATCCTAGTGAAAACCAGTATCTGAGATAACACATATACTGTTAAGTACGCAGAACAGGTTCTAACCATAGTGAACATTGATTTGTCTGGCTTGGGGTTATATCTGACTCCCTAGGAAGAGCAGGGGAGAAGGAGGCAAGTACAGGATGGGTCAGTCTGTTTTCACTCTATTTCTTAGATTACCCCATTTCTAACATGTGGAGGTTCTCACCTGATCCAAGTGCTAATTGGAGCCCTTAACTATAGATGGGAGAGGGATGATGCACTCAGAGCTTGGTGATTGTTCTGGACTTTGCCAGGAAGTCAGCAGTCAGCAAAGCATAACCAGAGAAAGAGAGAGAAAGGGGGCCCTCAGGAGCTAGCCAAAGGGGCTGCTAGGCTGGCTTGTGCTATGCTAGGGCCTTTGTCCTATGAAACTGTCCACACAATGGAGCTGGGTTACATGCTGATCTGGCATTCTGAATATGGGGCTAGGATAGAGATTCCACGTGGTGGATACAGAGATAGATGTTCACCCAGCCCCTCAGGAACATATCTCGATTCACCGTATATTGTAGTTGCCAGAGAGGATGTTCAATACTTGATAATCATAAATTATGTTTATATCTGATTAGTTCATGAGTCACTTCATTTACATTTGAAGGCAGCTAACTTAACATGTGTGTATTGCCTGGGTATATCTCATTTGATCCTCATACAATCCTGTAAGATCAGCAAGTTAGATATTTTTATGGAACTCAGACCTAGGTTATTCTTTAGGTCTTGATAATATGGGCTGGCTGTGGAGTAGCTTCAGAGAGGTAGTAAACTGGTCCTGGATAACGTCAGAGGTGGCTATGGTAATCACATGAGACCCACTGTGGAGAAATGAGACAAGACAAATAGCTCTGCCTGCAGATTCCCTGAGATTTATAGATGTACTTGCTCCCTAATATTATGGATTATGCTTCCTATGGCACCTCTTAGAGACTGAGAAATGGAGCCTTCTTTATTGAAGGGGGTATACTAAATTTAGGATCCCTAGCCCCAGGAATATAAAGAGTTTAGAAGGCTGATTGTTAGTAATCAAGAGGTAACTCAGTCTAGTGTAGAGACAAATGAGACTCCAGGATGATCACTATACAAGTGGTTAATACTTGAAGTAACTTTGTAACTACTCCAAGTTTGTTATTTTACAAATCCCTTTTCCCCTTTTCTCCACTGCCATAGTTCTTAGTAGAAAAAACAATTAAAAAATGTTTGTATGCTTACTCAAGCCCAGAAGAAAGAAAGGGGAAGAATCAAGAATTTAAAATTTTGGCAACCGGGGCGCCTGGGTGGCTCAGTCGTTAAGTGTCTGCCTTTGGCTCAGGTCATGGTCCCAGGGTCCTGGGATCAAGCCCCGCATCGGGCTCCCTGCTCAGCAGGAAGCCTGCTTCTCCCTCTCCCAATCCCCCTGCTTGTGTTCCCTCTCTCAGTATGTCTCCTTCTGTCAAATAAATAAAATCTTTAAGAGGGTGCCTGGGTGGCTCAGTTGATTAAGCGACTGCCTTCAGCTCAGGTCATGATCCCAGGGTCCTGGGATCGAGTCCCACATCAGAGCAGGGAGCCTGCTTCTCCCTCTCCCACTCCCCCTGCTTGTGTTCCCTCTCTCGCTGTGTCTCTCTCTGTCAAATAAATAAAAAAAATCTTAAAAAAATAAAAATAAAATAAATAAAATAAATAAAATAAAATCTTTAAGAAAAAAAAAATTTTTTTGGCAACCCCTGCAAATAACCTCAAATACAACAATGAAGTAGAGTGATAGCCAAAAAAAAGTGAACAAGCTAACCAGAAAAGTAGACAAAGATGAGTTGGAGTGTGTCCTGGGTAATCCCAGGAGTGTTAGACCCCAGGAATCCCCTGCACTCTCAGGCAATTCCTCAAAGGAACTTTCCTTTGCAGATTCCAATGGTCCAGTTGCCAATTTAGCATCGGTGCCTTCTCACTGGCTTGCTCTGTTTCTGATGAGGAATGGAAATATCCTTGCCTTGCCTTCCCTGGAATTCTCCTTGTCTTCCAGATCCTCATGTTAGCTTTCCTCTTTACTTCTCTGGCTCCTGAAACCCAAGTTTGTAAAGATGATTGGGAAGTGGAAGGATGAGTCTCTGCTTTCACTGTGAGCAGCTCTGGTAGACAGAAGCCATTATAAGCTCTTGCCCTTCCCTTGGTGAGTCTGGGTTGGAGGGCTGAAGAGGAAGAAAGAGATTGGTAGGAGAGAGAATGGCCAAGGTTGGGGATACTGAATGTTTAGGTGTGAGTATAAAAGTCTAAGGCTCCCTTCGGGAGAGCACTGACTGTG